TCTTTGGTGCTTCATAAGGTACACATAGCTCTGCTAGGCTCCAGTAAATTAAATACATTTTCACAAACATAAGTGGTATCCTCACACATATGCAGGAATAGTGTTCTTTACCTTACAACAAAGCCCAAGTATTTTAAAATAAGTTATTTAAAAATCTATAATATAAACATAATTTTAAACTGTTTTTACCTTCACTCAAATTATAAAACCACAGCCGCCTGATTCACTGGGTCCGCAAAATGTCGCTCACATAGAAAAAAAAATTTTATTTAATCTGGTATTACTTTTCTAGGAAAAACAGGTGAAATATTCTCACAAAGAATTTAATACATATGACAAAATATTGTCAATTCCTAAAATCTCCTAGGTACTATTAATTAAAGTGTCAAATGCCCAAATGTCAACAAAGGTGACTAAATTTGTCACTCACTGCTTCAGAATTCTTTCTAAAAGGGATGTTAAAAGGGAAAAATCATAATTTGTCAGTATTTTCATAGACACACACACAATTTTCTTTCTACTCGGCTGATGATGATGCAAAACAGGAAGTCCTAAGGGATGGCAGGGAGGACTGGTGTAATGGCGATAAATTTCCACCTCCAAATATGTTAAAGAGCAGAATCTCAAAACTGTGACAAAACAATGTAAGAAATCTCAAGTTGTTTTAAGAATCAGAATTTTTAAATGATGCTTCTTTTTCAGACATGATTTTTTTTATTATTCATGCAGGTATAATTGACTAGTGATGTTTTTCTTTAAAGAATACTATATATGAATTATTTCAAATGCATGAAAAACAAAAGTATTCCCTGGTTAAAGGAAATATGATTTCCCTCAAGAAAATGACTCCTAAATACAGAAAAGCCTGTATTCATGGGAACCCTAAGGGCTCCAGAGCGGAGCACACGCTCCATAACAGTATGAAGACACAGGCGTACTGAGTGTTTAATTTCTCAATAAAAATATTACTCATGTAGAGGCCACTTAAATCGTATTGGAACTTTAAAAAAAATTAAAAAATGGCCCTTGCTGGTGTGGCTGAGTGGATTGAATGTCAGCCTGCGAATCAAAGGGTCCCAGGTTCGATTCCCAGTTGGGCACGTGCCGGGTTGCAGACCAGGTCCCCAGGAAGAGGCGTGTGAGAGGAAACCATACACTGATGTTTCTCTCCCTCTCCTACCTTTCCTGTCTCTCTAAAAATAAATAAATAGCCCTGGCTGGCATAGTTCAGTGGATTGAGCGCGGGCTGCAAACCAAAGCATTGCAGGTTTGATTCCCAGTCAGGGCACATGCCTGGGTTGCAGGCCAGGGCCCCCAGCAACTGCACATTGATGTTTCTCTTTCTCTCTCTTTCTCCCTCCCTTCCCTCTCTAGAAATAAAGAAATAAAATCTTAAAAAATATATTTTTAAAAATCTTAAAAAAATAGAATCTTTTAAAAAACTGAAAATTGCTAGACTATCATTTATTCTTCCTCAAATAACTAAAAAAATTGCTAAGACTAACTTATAGAAACAAAACAATTTATTCTCTTTCTTATCCAACTACAATGCTGTCAACAGAGAGCCATTTAGATTTAAAAACAAATGAAAACACTGTATGAGCCAACGGAACACGCACATATCTCTAGTGGAAGGACCAACGTTCAGTGACTGCCCACTTCCCCAATTCTGTCTGGGACCCTTAACACCCCACACACGGCCAGCCCTGCGCCACGCCTGTGATGGCTTGATTTTACAGAGGAAGTCTGTTTACTGAGGTCGTTTAAGATGTCTTTATACCACCAAGGTAGGGGAGGGGGAAAGTTTTTTCTATTAAATTACACTGAATACTAATTAGGCCTTCATATGAAATTTGAGATTAAATACAGATGTAAAATAGTGCAGCTAAAGTAATACTTAGGGAAGTTTATTAGAGTACAGAGGTAAAAATGTGAACTGCAATTAGTCCCTACCGATCCCCACTGAGGTCCATTAGCGGCTGGGTTACCTTCCAACAGGGGTGTCCTTCAGTTCTAACAGCTCTGAAAAGGGGAAGTTTCCATGCAAATCACCATCTCTGCTGAAAAAGCAACTTAAAGCTCCCATCCTGTCAATATGTCAGTAGCTTTCCATAAAAACAGCCGTATTTCCTTTTAAATTTCTCTTAAACCACCGTACACATGTAACTCTTTCACTACTACTGAGGCACACAGTAATGCAGCCAAAAGCTGTAGCCTCTTCTTTTTTAAATTTTGCTCAAGAGTTTATCTTTTCTTTCACAAGGAACACCATCGTGTACAGAAGCACATTTACAAAACTCTCAGCCATACCTGAACTTGATTCAGAAAAGTTAACAATAGCAGGTACTTCACCTGTTTACCATAAAGTTCAACCTTTCTGTAGGTCCTTAACTTCTCCTTAATACTGAAGGATACAGTAGCCACAGGCCTCGATATCATTGTTGACATACACATGCAAATGAATGTAACAACGACACCTCAGGAAATGACTGAGCACGCTGTCATCTTATGACCCTCACTAGACGGGCGTTGGACACCTATTTACCCTCCTTTGTTAACAGAGTCAACACCAAGAGGAAGAGACTTCTTAGAACCTTCTTTCTGTGTGGACATTTTCAGATTGAATACGGCAGCACTTGAGGAAAAGGATTTTTAAATTTTCCCTACAGAATTTATCTGACTCTCAGGCAAGACATCTAAAGAATCACACAGGAATCCTAGAGAAATGTGCTGTCCAATGGGGTCCTAGCCATTGGTGACATTCAGCTACTGAGCACTGGAAATGTGGCTAGTCTGCATTCAGATACACTGTAAGTTAAAACACACCGCAGATTTCACAGATTTCGTATGAAATAATGTAAAATTACCGCATTATTAACTTTTAAAGTGGATTACAAAATAAAAAGATATAAATTTAAATAAAATATACTAGTAAAGATTAATTCCACTTTTTTTTTTTCCTGTTAATTTGATTAGAAAACTTTAAATTGCTTGTGTGGCTTTCTATCATGACAGCAAACAACTACTACCATTTGGCATTTCCCAATTATATACAAATGTCATTTAAAAGTCAGAAGAAAAAGCAGGATTTCCCCTTCTCTGCCAATTATGTTGCGATAGTAATAAAAATAACTTAAGAAGAGTATAAAAATAATCAGCAGGATCACTTAGCCCTGACACCATTAGAAAGAAAGATTACCTCAAAAAAGCAAAAATAGCACAGGATGTAAAAAACCACACCTCTTAAGAAAGCTAAGATGTTAATACACAAACCAAGTTCTTCTAACAGAGCAAGTCTAAAAGCTAATTATAAGGTTCATCTTTAAAGTAAAAAGGACATTTTTTTCATTTCCAGGACCTGAGGCCACAGAAACAAAATGCTTAAGATTCTCTATTATTACAACACCTTCAATCACAAACAAGTTATTAGCACTGTAAACATGGAAATAATGATCATAACTTAATTCTCATTTCCAAAACCAAAATAACTACATCAGCTTCTCTAGGGCTGAGTAGGCTACCTTTGGTCCACAAATATTATGAAATTAAAAAAGCATTATTTTAAGCTTTCTGCTGTGGCAGTATTGTAGCCAATGAGGTTTATACAAGGCATGATTACTGTTAAATGAAGAAAAAAAGCATATTTTAAAGTAAGTATTTTCTGAAGTGAGAAATTCAAGAATACGGTCCTATGAGTGAATCAGATTTTCCTCTACTAGAAGACATCATTCTGCTTTATTTAAAAATATTTAGGCCTCCAGGGCTCTGGGGGGGTGGAGGTGGGAATCAATGTGTTTCTGAATCTATGAAATATCTTTTAAGGGGAGAGAGAAGACAGTTCAGTAAAGGATGGTATTCAGAGGAAGGAAAAGTTACTACCACAAAATTGTCAGTGGGGATACTGTCCATAAAAAAAATTTAAGGAAATTAAGATCAGTGAGTCCCCAGGGCTTCCACAACAGTTGGTTAGATACTTTCTGTGGTGTCCTAACAAATTTATAGTCCAAAAAAAGGCCATAGTTGACTGTCAATTATTTATCCATTTGATATTTATTAGCTGAGTATAATCTTCAGGCTTCTGTTTGCTAGATGATACATTCCTTAAATACCTTTTCCTGGTGTATTTAAATGCCAAGCTCAATTAGACTCCCAATACAGTAAGCAGAAAGGATTGCACATATTTTCAAATAGGGAGTAGCTTGGCTGCATTTCCTTCCTTGGTGCAGAGGGTAATGGGTAAAGCTCTAAGTATAATCCTTAAACACTGAAATCACTTGCAAAGAACCGAGTCCTCTAACATTACCCAGTGGGTAAAAAAGACTGCCAAATTTTCCATTAGAGCATCCTATTTTTAGTGTTTGGAACTGGTCTTTTAAATTGCATTCCACAGTGCAATATGTTTGACTAAGTTTACACAAGGAACAAAATAGGCATCCTAAGGTCATCATCTTTTTAAGCTTGGAAAGGAATTTAAAGCTTTTAAATAGCATGTTTTTCCAATCTTAACTTTAAATCTTTTCAACACGCAAATTAAAAATTGAGGAAATATTGACCCAGAGGGGGGAAGGGAGGGAAGACACCAGGTGGTTCTTGACAACCAGAGTGCTGGGAGGGGGAACAGGTAAGCAGGAAACCAGAAACCGTGCTCCAGGGTGGGGTGCCAGCCGGGCTGCGGGCTGCAGGATGGAAGGAACAGAGGTACGGGGCGGGTAGGGGGTGCTGCAGCCTCCTGGGGGAGTCTGGGGAGGAACGACTTCTGGCGCTCGTCCCCTAGGGAGGCAGAAATTGGCGCGATGCGCAGGAACCGACCACACAGGCGGGAGAAGAAAACAAGGGAGCGGAGAGGGGGCGGAGGTGGGGAAACGGGGCTACACCTCACACAGAGGGCAGAGGAGGCGCAGTTGGAGGAAGGCGCAAGGGGAGGAGCGAGGGGCTCCAAGAGGCTTTGCACCCAGCCGTAAGCTGGTCGGTTCCCTGCATCCCGCTCTCCCTCTCCTCACCTGGGAACTGCAGACGAAAGGAGGGCTACCGCTGGGCTCCGGGGCTGTCTGCAGCCCTACTCGCTGACATGGCGGCCGACGAGCTGTCACAGATCTTGCTCAGGTCTCCCGCCGCTCGGGTAGAGGAGACACCTCTGCTTTCTCGCCCCGCCTCCCTCTGCGCACCCCTCCCGGCTGGGCGGCCGGCGACCGCGGAGCACAGAGCGCGAGCGGCTAGAGAGGAAGCGCAGGGGGCGGATAACCATAGAGTACACAGCCTGGATGGTCCGTCTCCTCCTCGGTCCACTCACAGTCCTCTAGCGTCAGCACCCGGCAGGAAACGGAAGTCAGGGTAAAACAAGTGGGAGGGGTTGTTCGCATGCGTAGTTTGCAGCGTTTGCCTCCCCTCCCCCTCTCCCGCCCTCACCTAATCAGGTGGTGCAGAGATGTTGCACGTGGTGATTTCTCTTGGGCGCTCGCCGACTTTTCATTGACGTTTTGCATGACTTTGGGACAGACAGACCTTAGAGGGTAAGGATGTGGGTCCCAGTGGCCGGGCTTCCTCAGCGGCTGACGCTGTCAGCTTCTTCCGGTGCTGGTCGCCTTTGCCTTTGGAGGTCGGGAGCGGCGAGGTGGAAGGACGTCCCGGCGAGGAACCGCCGTGGTTTGTCTGACATCCAGCCGCAGCTGTTGCGGGGTCAGGATTTCAGGGAATTGCCCTCGCGGCCGTCCAAGTGCGGCGTGGAGTCTAAGCGTTACCTGACCAGTCCAAGACTGGCTGAGACCGTGGTGCAGTTCCTGCTGAAAGAAGACGACCCGTGCAAGCTCATCCTGGAATGCAATCCTGGTGAGTCCGTCGTGGATTGCCTTTTGTCGGGTTTTCATCACCTTTGCAAACTTCTGTTGACCATGCGTAGGTAGCTGTATGAGACATGGCGCCTTCCTTTGGGCAGCCTGTATGGTTTTGTAGTCTCTATCAGGATACTACAGAATATTTCTGTAGCAGTTTGCACTTCACACAGTACTTTGATAGAGCAAGCTCTTCTTTTCCGTCGTCTCCCCAAGATCGTTGCAATCCACTCCTGGAAAAAAGAACTTTTGTTTTACCTTTCCGTGAATCTCCTTTAGACCATTAGCGGATGCTGAGAACACCAGACTTATAAAAAATAACTTTTTCAAAAAATTTTACTTATTTATCTCTAGAGAGAGGTGAAGGGGGCGGGAGAGAGAGAGAAAGAGAGAAAAACATCAATGTGCGGTTGCTTCTCAAGCGCCCCCTATTAGGGACTTGGCCCGCAACCCAGGCATGTGACCAGACTGGGAACCGAACCTGGTGACCCTTTGCTTCAAAGGCAGGCACCCAATCCACTGAGCCACACCAGCCAGGGCCGCAAAAACAAACAAACAAACAAAAACTTTTTGAAATACCATCCTATCATGAGGAGTCAGTTCTGTTTAGGATAGTCCATGATTAAATGGTAGGCTGGAGGCAACATTTTTTTTTTTCTTGAGACGTGAACCTAGAGCACAGGTTTTCTAGTGTTTGATAGAATGGATTCAAAGCCAAGCAGCACCCCTGAACCGGTTGTGAAGTTGGAGTCCAGTGACTGACTATAACCCCCAGTTCCATATATGCAAGTAAGGAGTGTAATATCTACTTTGGGGATATTAGGAGAAATTAAAATTACAGCCCTGGCTGGTGTGGCTCAGTGGGTTCGAGCGTCATCCTGTAAAGCTACAGGTTGCCAGTTCGAGCCTGGGCCAGGGCACATAACCTTGGTTGCGGTTCTGTCCCCAGTTGGAACTTGTACTGGAGGCCACCAATTGCTGTTTCTCTCTCACATCGATATTTCTCTCTTTCCCTTTCTAAAAGCAATGGAAAAAATGTCTTAGGGCGAGGATTTAGAAATTTTTAAAAAAATTAAAATTAGAAAATCCATGTAAAATGACTTTTTTGACATTGAAAGAAATTGTTTCTTTTGTAAATAACTTTTTTGTTCTGTTACTATACTAGGTCCTGGAATCCTGACTGAAGCATTAATTCAAGGAGGTGCCAGAGTGATTGCCCTTGAAAGTGACAAAACTTTTATTCCACATTTGGAGGTATATTTTAAAAATAATGATTGATTGATTGGAGAGAGAGAGAAACATCGATTTGTTGGTCCAGTTACTTCTGCATTCATTGGTTGATTTTTGTGTGTGCCCTGACGGGGAAGTGGACCTTTGGCCTTGGCGAATCAGAATGACGATCAACCAACAGAGCTACCTGGCCAGGGCTCCAGAAGTTTATTTTTAGTTTCTAAAAATAATGTACTGGTCCATCAGTTCCCATGGCAGTGGCTTAGGGAAGTAAATTTAAGCACACAATTTATTTTTCTCGAATCACTTTTAGTGGCCATGTCTGAAATATCTTGTCATCCCCAGTGACTAGAACGTTCTATCAGTGATTGTTGAATAACTAAAAGATTGGTGTTCTGAGACTTGTTTTCTGCTTGTAGCTCTGCTAGAGACTAGTTGAGTGACTTTGAACAAAGGGTATAACTGGTATTTCTGGGCTCATTTCCTGGTTTTAGTAGGCTGTGCTGTACTGTGCCCCTGCCTTCTGCAAGCTTAGAATCTAATTGGAGTGCTAAGATCAAATTAATGGGACTGTGTAAACTCTGGATTTAGTGGTACAGGGGCAAGGAAGGTTTGGTTGGTCAGATACAGTTGCATGGAGTGCGGGCATTATTCAAATGGACTTTTCAGTGAATTCTGCTTTGTAGCAGACAAGATCACATAACAGTAAAGTGGAAAGTCCTTGCATCAATTTCGGTCTCTTTTTTTCTTTCTCTTCCTCTTTTATGAATCTCTACATTCAGTTTAGGAAACTAACATTTTTCTACGACAACTTTCTGAAGTCATGTACATTGTAAAAGTGCAGGATAATAACAAAAAGTTATGATAATGTCCACCAAATCCATCTGCTTGTTTATTAATAAAACTATGTGCATTAGATAGTTATTATTCTATAACGGACTGCTTTGAAAAGAATTCAGGGTTTTAGCCAGGTTATTTAATTGATTAAAAATCTGTTGAAATTTCAGAAACATGAGAAAACAAAATCGTTCAAAGATTCAAGATCATGAAACGTGATTTCATACACAGAGCTATCTATAATTTCAACTTGGAGATTAAAAATAAGATAGCTTTTATCTTGATCTTTTAAAAAAAGGCCTACAAGTTTTTGCCTCAGTTAAGGTTTTTATTTTCTTCTACCTCCTGAGTTCTCTCTCTGTCCAGCAGTAACTTGAACTCAGCCGCGAGTACTTCCTTTCACTTACTAACCGTTGTTAAGGTGAGGTGGAAAGCCATTGCAGTAAAGCTTTGTGTGAATTCATGTATTTGCCAGAATAAAAGAAAAAACCGTTGAAATAAAACCTTTGCATGGAGTGTTATGGTGGTTTTCTTAGCAGACGATGCTTGTAGCCTCCCCACCGCTCTCTAGTGTGCTCCTGAAACCCGAAAGGACTCTGAAGGATGATGCTTGACTCTGGGTTTTTATCTAACTTTAAACTTCCTCCCTCCCCATTGCCCTGATAAAATTCTCGGGACTCCATGTGAATAGTGTTTCGAGTGGGCACAGTTTGTTTCCCTCTCTCTCTGCTGTAGAGATACACATGCTACAGATTGTGTTCCCTAATAATCATAATCTATCCCACTTGAGTTGTGAAAACTACTATTGTGCCAGCACTTAGCTGTGAACGTTCAGTTGAAGAGACAGCAGCTTCTGTGATGAACTACCTGTTAGTTCAGCGCGGTTACAGCAGCACAGTCTTTTCAAACCTTGCTGAGCCTCAGCCCCAGGGCTTCCCACCTTTAAGACCCTGGGGCAAGTAATTAAACTGTCTGAGCCTTGGTTTTCCCATATGTAAAACAGCTGTGTCAGTTCCCACCTGTTAAGGATCTTGATGCTTAAATTCGATGAACTCCAGTGCCTAACATAATGACCCATAGAAATCAACAGTTACTTATCTTTCCTGACCTTTTCACTTCCTGATTTTGAATCCCAAATGCAATCAAGTTGAGTTCCAAAATGTGATTTCACTAATATATGAATTTATTCTGGAGTTCTGGCTGTTACTGTGTTTGAATTATTGAATAGTAAATGACAGGTGCTACACCAAAAATGTGTAAAGTCACAAAGTATACGTTCTTTTTTCATCCCCATCAAACCAAAATACATTAGCTTTCCTCAGTGAGAAAAATTAAAATATAATTCTTGAGTAATTTGTGAGGTTATTTTATTGCTGTACACATAGAATAGTTTGTAAGAGGTTAGTCAGTTTTTAAGGTATGCATTATATGAATGCTCTTTTTCCTTAGCTTTCCTAACACCCCACTCTTCTGGTTTTCTCCTTTGTTTTCGGTGTAGTCTCAGCTTCTTGTCACGAGACTCTGCAGTTACTCCGTCCTCAGGCATAGTTCTGTGTACTTGTCCCTTAGACATCTCATCTGCAGTCCTGGCTGCGGTAAGCCACGTCCTCACAGATTTGTGTCTTCAGCTGGACCTCCCCGCGGAGGTACAGCCTTGCACCTGGCGCCTCCCCTCGGGTCACAGCATTGGGCATCTCAGCATGAACAAGACCAAACATGCGTGATTTCCACCCGCAGTGTGCTCCTTCCACTGGTCTTTTTCCAGGGTCCTCGTGAAAGTGATCATTGAAATGTAGTCAATTCAGAAATTAAATAATATTTACAGTTTGAATTTACATGCTTAAGAAAAATTAGGTTTTTAATTTATAACTTTTAAGTCACAGTTTTGTTCAGACCTTGATAAATGCCAGTAGAAGTTTCTGTGCATGAGAACCTAGATACGCACATCAAAGCATATTGCCCTCTTTTCACTGATTCCTTGTAACTTCACGTTAAGTTTATGGAAGTCTGCAGCTAATGCTTGCTCTCACTCCTGAGTTCTCCAGTACTACCCCAAGGTGAGCAGATCAGGGCGGTACAAAGGTGGAGGTGAACTGGACCTCTTCCAGTGGGCAGGGAGCTTTTCTTCTAGACTTGTCTGTCTTTAGAAAAAGCACATGAAGAATTAGGTGGAAAATGGACAGTGACCCACACAGTGAGCTAAGTTCTTACCTGAAGGACTAACTAAACTCTTCAAGAAAAAAAGGAATACTCTCTCGAATCAGCTGCCTTTCACTTTAATATTTTTCTGTTTTTGTCGACCATGAAACATCTTTCCACGACTGGTAGATGGATCACCGCTCTCCGAGCCCCGATGTGTTCTCAGAAAGTTCGCCCAGTGCCCCAGGCAGCCACTACCAGGGAATTAGGGATTCATGGGAAGGAGCTTTTCAAACAGCTGGTGATGCCATTGAGGATAAAGTAAAGGAAGTAAAAGGATAAGGAAGATTTGTTCAAGGTGTTTTGTTTGTTTTTTGGGCTTTTTCTTATTAAAATAGTTGTACTTTTATTGTTTTTGAGGCATTAATTGATTTGTATTAACTTAAATTTTTAGGATATATTTAGTCATGTTTTCTTTACTAATCTTTATTGAGGTGGTCATATTTATGGTAAGAATTCTTTTTTGAAGTAGGTCTTTGAATTGTTATAAACACTTTTCATAACACTGAAACTTCTTCACATGTCATTTCTGCTTCTCTTTAGTCCCTAGGAGAAAAGCTGGGAGGAAAACTGCACGTGGTCCACTGCGACTTCTTCAAACTGGACCCTCGAAGTTTTGGGGTAGTGAAACCCACTGTGGATTCCCGGGTGCTTCTGCGGGACTTGGGGATAGAAACACTTCCTTGGGCGAAAGGTAACTTTTGTCCTTCACTAAGGCACATTCCTTCTAACTTGCCAGCTTTCTCGAGCAGTGCGCCAATGGTTTGTTGATGAGATTTGCGTGCAGTTTATGTTGTACAGTTTATGGGCAGATGCTCCGAAGTTGAAACTTGCTTTCCCCTCACACCTGGGCACCAGTAATCCGAGCAGTTGTGCTAAGGCCAAGTTTTCTGTCAAGGAAACATGTTGAGGCTTAGGTTTAATTGAAATAAAATTAATATAGTCTGTTCACCTAGTTTGGCTCAATAAAATATGATCCCAGGAGAAAGTGTAAAGCATTTACTCAAATATTTTTGCTTGTATTAACAGGTATTCCTTTAAAAGTAGTTGGAATCTTCCCAGCCAAAAATGAGAAGAAGCTGATTTGGAAGTTTTTACATGATATATATTCCTGTACTTCTCTATATAGATATGGACGAGTAGAACTAAACTTTTTTATGAATGAAACGGACTGCCAGGTGGGTTATCTAGAACGACTTGACTAGTATTTTTGTCTTGGAAGAGTTCTGTGGTTTTTCTCTAATCTTCATGATTTCAATTTGGAATCATGACATAAAATTTACCATTGTAACTCTTTTTAAGTATACAGTTCAGTGGCATTAAGTATATTTACATTGTGGTACAATTGTCACCACCATCCACGTCTTCTCAGCATGTGTTCACCATTCTCTGCTGGAACTCTGTACCCACAGAGCACTAACGCCACACCTTCCCCACCCCCGAGCTCCCACTACTCTTCTACATTCTGTATGAGTTTGACTCTTCTAGGTACTTCATACAAGTAGAACTACACAGTATTTCACTTTGTGTCTGGCTTATTTCACTTAGCATAATGTCTTTAGGGTTCATTCAAGTTGTAGCATGTATCGGAATTTTATTCCTTTTTAAGGCTGAATTTTATTCCATTGTACAATGTGTACACACCACCTTTTGTTTATCTATTTTCTCTCTGTAGACTCTTGGGTTGCTCCCACTTTTTGGTTACTATGAATGCTGCCGCTATGAACATCGGCATGCAGATATCTCTGAGTCTCTGCATTCCATCCTTTTCGTGTGCATTCAGAAGTGAAGTTGCTGGATCGTACCCTAATTCTATTTTGATCTTTTGAGGAACCACCATGCTGTTTTCATAGTGGCTGTCCTGTTTTATATTCCCACCAGCAATGCACAAGCGTTCCAATTTCTCCACATTTTCTGCAATGCTTATATCTGTGGGTTTTTTTTTTCTTTTTCCAAATAATTCCCTTCCTAATGATTTAAAGTGGTATTTCATTGTGGTCTTGAATTTCTGTTTTCCTAAATGATTACTGCTGATGAGCATTTTTTATGTAGTTATAGATCATTTGTGTATCTTCTTCAGAGGAATTAATCCTGTTGTCTATTTGTTGTTGTTGAGTTATAGGAGTTTTATAATCTCAGTATTAATCCCTTCCCAGGTATGTGATTTGTGAATATTTTCTTCCCTTTTATGGGTTGCCTTTTTACATTGCTATGGTATCTTTTGAGTCCTAAAGTTTTTAATTTTGGTGATGTGCAATTTGTCCTTCTGTTGTTGTTGCCTGTGCCTTGTGTCATCTCAGAAATCATTGCCAAATTCAATGTCACGAAGCTTTCCCCCCGTGTTTCCTTTTAAGAGTTTTATGGTTTTAGCTCTTATGTTCAGGTCTTTGATCCACTCTGAATTACTTCTTTATGTGATGTTAGGTGAGGGCCCAGCCTCACTCCTTTGCATGTGGAAATATATGGAGTTTTCCCAGTACTTTCGTCGAAAGACTGTCCTTTCCCATTGGCAGCCTTGTTGAAAAATCACTTGGCGATGTATGTGCATGGGAGTCTATTTTTGAACACTGTTTTATTCCATTGTTCTTTGTATTGTCTACATGCCCATGCCATACTATTTTGACTACTGTAACTTTCTTTTTTAAATTTTATCTTTATCTATTTATTATTTTATGTTACCTTTTAGTCCCCTTTATTCCCCTTTCCCCCAGTGATTACTGTAACTTTGTAGTAAGTTTTGAAATCAGGATTTTGAGTCCTCCGATTTTGTTCTTTTTAAAGATTGTTTAGGCTATTTGGTGTCTCTCAAGATTCCATGTATATTTTTTAAAATGTATTTTATTGATTATGCTATTACAGTTGTCTCATTTCCCCCCTTCATTCCCCTCCACCCTGCACACCCTCTCCCACCCACATCCCCCCCTTTAGTTCATGTCCATGTGTCATAAGTTCTTTAGCTTCTACATTTCCCATACTATTCTCGCCTTCCCCCGTCTATTTTCTACCTACCATCTATGCTACTTATTCTCTGTACCTTTTACCCCTCTCTCCTCCTCCCACTCCCCTGTTGCTAACCCTCCATGTGATCTCCATTTCTGTGGTTCTGTTCCTGTTCTAGTTGCTTGCTAAGTTTCTTTTTGTTTTAAGTGTGGTTGTTAATAATTGTGAGTTTGCTGTCGTTTTACTATACATGTTTTTATCTTCTTTTTCTTAGATAAGTCCCTTTAACATTCCATAAATCAGGGCTTGGTGATGATGAACTCCTTTAGCTTGACCTTATCTGAAAAGCACTTTATCTCTCCTTCCATGCTAAATGAAAGCTTTGCTGGATAGAGCAATCTGGTATGTAGGTCCTTGCTTTTCATCACTTTTAATACTTCTTTCCAGCCCCTTCTTGCCTGTAAGGTCTCTTTTGAGAAATCAGCTGACAGTCTAATGAGAACTCTTTGTAGGTTACTGTATCCTTGTCTCTTGCTGCTTCTTACTGTATCTTTTCTTCATTTTTACCTTGGCTAATGTAATTATGATATGCCCTGGTGTCTTCCTTCTTGGGTCCAATTTCTTTGGGAGTCTCTGAGCTTCCTGGACTTCCTGGAAGTCTATTTCCTTTGTCAGAATGGGGAAGTGCTCCTTTATTATTTGTTCAAATAAGTTTTCCACTTGTTGCTCTTCCTCTTTCCCTTCTGTTACCCCTATAATTCGGATGTTGGAACGTTTAAAGATGTCCTGGAGGTTCCTGAACCCCTCCTCATTTTTTTGAATTCTTATTTCTTCATTCTCTTCTGGTTGTTTTTCTTCCTTCTGGTCTACTCCATTGATGTGAGAGCCAGCTTTCATTCCATCACTATTGGTTTCCTGTGCATTTTTCTTCATTTCACTTACTGTAGCCTTCATTTGTTCATCTAATTTGCGACCAGAATCAACCAATTCTGTGAGCATCCTGATCACCAGTGCTTTGAACTGTGCATCGGTTAGGTCGGCTATCTCTTGGTTGCTTAAAAAATTGGCTCTGGGGCTTTCAACTCTGTTTGAGCCATCTTTTTTTTTTTTTTCTTCCTTTGGTCTGGTTGTGCCTGTTACGTATGAGGGGTGGAGCCTTAGGTGTTCACCAGGGCAGGGCACCCCAGTTGCTGGGATATGACATTGTATGTGGGGGCGGGGTCCTAGAGGGAACAGTGGTGCTTGCTCTGCTCTCCGTGGGACCTCAGTCCCTTCTGCTGCTTCCCCCGAGCAAACTGGACGCCTCTGGTGCCAGTTCCCGTGTGGGTGGGCTTGTGCACGCTGTGAGACCCTCCAAGGACCCCTCCTGAGAGGCTGGGAGTCCCTCCCTGCTCCTCAATCCCCACAGGTGTCCTCAATCAGTGCCCCAAGGCTCTCTTTCCCAGCGCCGGGATCTTGGGTTACGCGCAGTGCCTTGCTTCACAACTGCTGCCTGGCTGGGTCTGCCGTTTGCCACCCTGTGGCTGGGGTCTGCCAGCTGCCGCTGGTGCGCTCAGGGTCCACCCGCTGCGGTCTTGTGCACCCAGGAAGCCTCACGCGCCCGGTCCCAATGCTCTCTGCGCCCAGCTGCCCAACTCTGCCCCTCCTACCGGTCTGGGTGAACGGGTCTATTTTAACTTCTTGGTTGTCTGACTTCCATACAGTTCAATTTTATGTCAGTTTTGGTTGTTATTCTGTTTCTAAATTGTTGTTGTCTCTATCTTGGTTGTTCGAGGAGGCACAGTGTGGCTACCTATGCCTCCATCTTGGCCAGAAGATCAAGATTCCATGTAAATTTTAAGATGAATTTTTAATTTCTGAAAAACAAAAAAAACAACAACTTTGGGTTTTGATAGGGGTTGCATTCAATTTGTTGATCACTTGGGTCATGCTGACATCTTAACAATATTAAATCTTTCCATCATGAACCCAGGGTGTCTTTGTATTTATTTGTTTAATTTCTTACAGCAATGTTTCGTAGCTTTTCGTGTAAGTGGAATTGTTTTCCTAATTTCCTTTTCAGATTGTTCACTGTTAGTGTATAAAAATACAATTGATTTTTGTGTGTTAATTTTGTAGCCTGCAACTTTGCTGAATTCCTTTATCCTAACAGTTTCTGTGTGCAATCTTTAGAATTTTAGACTCTACTTTTAATTCGCTGACATGGAAGGTCTTCCTGAAGACCTGGATATTGCTTTGAGGGTGATGTTTCTTTTCTGCCCAGAACGCCTCCTGTCATCAGTCTCTTAATGCAATGTAACAGGAGATGCTTATTTGTCTGTAACAGAGCTATGGGATAGGACAGTGGGGCAGGAAATGAAGGGATGCCTTATTCGCCAAAACCCAGGTAGTATGTGAGCAGTCAGTGTCTGCGGAGGGAGAGCAGGGGCTTCAAACCGTGGAGCTGTGCACACAGCACATAAGGAAAGAATGAGAGGAGGAGAGAGAGCAGACGCTTTGTCAGGGTTCGTCTCACTGCTGGGAAGATGTTATAATGGTTTTTTCTTTTTCCACCACGGATGCTCTTGCCTGTCATTTCCTCTCTCCGAGGTGTCTTCTCATTCGCTGGGGCGACCTCTTACCTTTCAAGTGTCAGCCTAGACAGTTCTGACTTAGAACTGGACAGACCACTGGGTACATGTTTCTAATACTCGATGTTCCTCTTCACAGAAATGACACATTTTTGTTTAATTTTTTCTTTAATGAGGTTTTGCCCTGGTGGGTGAGATATGGTTAAAGGAGATCAATCTAGAATACTTTCTATTTTAAGTGTACATGATATAGCTCCATATGAAAGTTTAAAAGGCCTTTCTCTTTTTTGAAATGGTAACAGCTAAGATTTTGCATTTAATTTTAATTTTTCCTAATTTCTAGAGAATATTAGATATTACCATTAAGACCACCTTTGGTTTTGATTGATGGTAGTTTTGTATAACAAGTACTTTCTCTTTTACTCTTATTAGAAGATCATGGCGAATCCTCAGAACCGAAACCTGTACCAAGCCTTAAGTGCGCTGTGGCAAGTGGCTTGTGAGGTCAAGCTGCTGCATACGGTGAGTGGAGCCCTTGTGCACTTCAGCAGGGACTTCATTGTTGTCAGGGAGGCTCCATGTCAGTGCCCAGTGAATGGAGAGAAGTTCAACATTAAGTTGCTGATTTTTCCCAACCGTGGCGTACATAGTAGGGCCAGGTAACTCTGTGCCCGTTTTTGTCACAAATATTTGTTTTTCTCTGAATATAAAAATAGCATATGTTCGTTGTAAAAATGTAAGCTATAAAAGAATTTTTAAAAACCCCCTACATTTCTGCCATCCAGAGGCCACTACTGATGTCTGTGGCACACTGTTTCGTCTTTTATTCTCCCTATGATTATGTTTCTCTATGTAGTGAAGATTCTGTTATTTTTATCTCATTTTTTCATTTAATAGCTAATGCTTAGTTATGTTTTTTCCCCTTGTCGCTGAACATTTTAAGTTTTTAATGGCTGTCTAATACTTTATTATAGATCATTCCCCTCCTTGTTTTTTTAGTTTACGTCCTTAGGAAAATCAGAGTTGTCCAATAGAAATAATATACAAGCCACTGATGCAATTTTACCTTTTTTAGCAGCCACGTTATAAAAATTTGAAAAAGAAGCAGGTGAAATTAATTTTAATATTTTATTTAACCTCAATTCAAAATATTGTCCTTTTAATGTATAACCTGTATTTTAGAATTAGTTATTATGTAATTTTGATTTTTGTGTGTATACCAGGCTTTGGAAATCCAGAGTGTAGTTTACAACGTCTCAGTTCAGACTAGACTCATTTCAAGTGTTCAACAGCTGTGGTGATTAGTGGCTAACCATATTCAATAGCAGAGGGATACAGTGTAAGAAAAAAAAAATGGTAAATGCTATTTCTTCCATACCATAATTTGCATATTCTTTCATTTTAGTAGATAGAATATTGAGTTGTTTTTATGTGATATGTGTTCATATATATATATATTTCAAAGATTTTATTTTTTTATTTGAGGGGAAGGGAGGGAGAAAGAGGGAGAGAAACATTGGTGTGAGAGATGTTGATTGGTTGCCTCTTTGGTGCCCTCACTGGGGACCTGGCCTGCAGCCCAGGCATGTGCACTGCCTCCACGGATCTCCTTTCATTCTGTGAGTTTTTCGTTGTAGCCTCTGCTGTCCTTGTGGCTTTCCACTGGTTTCTCTGTCCAGGCCTGCTGGGGACTGGCTCTCAGGATGGTTTTCTTCTCTTGTTCTGCAGTGTTTGTTTTCGGAGGCCCTTTGCTGAGTCTTGCCATTTATTCATCTCCCGAAAGGAGAGGTCTTTGTGCACCCCAAATTTTAAACATTTGTCCATTACATACCTCTAACTGGAGGGTCAGTTGTGGAACTCAGCTCCCAGGGTCTTTCAGGTTTCCTCTCCTGCGGCTTTGCAATGGGATAAGGTCCCCGCTGTACCCAGTGCTATTCAGCAGACCCGAGTGTGGGACAGTGGGAACTGTGGTGCCTGCTGCACGCTGCTGTGGCTTCGCCTTCCCTCTCTTGGCGGCATTCGGGAACTGCCAGCAGTTTTATGGATGAGCAACAGTTGCATTTTTTATTCCACTTCATTTGCCACTGTGGTTGGTAATAGTCATTTTGACAAGACCCTTTCAAACCTATGTCCAGTACTGTAAGTTTTAGTCCTTATGTCTGTGTCACATGCTGGTTTAACTCACTCTTACTTGGAATTTAATTGTGTATATATTTTTATAATAAAAATTGCTTCACATGTAAAATTGTATGTATGTTAGATACAAAAAATAATGATCTTTTAAAAAATTGACACAGTATCTTTATTTTTGTATCTCCTTACATGTCCCAACATATTCAAATGAGTTTGAATAATAGGCTTTTCCACTAGGTTAGGACAAAAATATCCTTAGTATTGATCTGATAACCCCTATACTGATTGTGACTCTGCTCTTGAAATGTTGGTTATTTAAACTTGTAACTGGAGACAGTATTTATGCAAGCATATTAAGGGTAACTTTCTTTCATCTGAGTAACAGAGTTACCATTATTGGGGCAGACCTTTGATTTTCCTTTTCTTTATCCAAAGAAAAGAGATAAATGATTTGACTGTTATATGTTGTTTTTCTTTAAACCAGTTAGATTGGTGGCTGGGGTTCATGCTGTTGTTTGGGCAGACATTTTTAAAGCAGCAGTGATCTGGGGCCCTTGGGCTGAGGAGAACTGAAAGAAACGTCTCTGTCTCACCTCTAGGAGCCGTGGTCGTCGTTCGACAAGCACGCCCAGGGCGGACAGCTGGGGAAGCCGGAGTGCAGGGCGAGTGTGAGTAGTGCCTCGCGCCCTTCCCTCTGAGTGCAGCATGCTTTCTTTCCTTTAAGGTCATCTGATATTCCATGTGTATTTGAATTTTTTAACTTCACAATATCTGGAAATGTGCTTTAAAGATAACTTACTGCTTGTAATAAATTCCAGTTATTTTGGAAGAGAATTGTATTTTCCAGCTGTTTATACCGAGGATGGATGAACAGAGTAGTAGACCAGACAGAATCTGACTTCCATTTTTCTCTCTCTTGAACTGAAGACACACCCCAGATTTGGAAAACATAATCGTTTCACTATTCATCTGATTTGGCAAACTAAAAACAGAATTTTATTTGTTACTAATTAACCAGGGATTTGTAACATTGCTCCTCAGAATGGTTGAATTTGCCAATAGGTACATAGGCATGCCTGTTTCTTACCCAGGATGTTGGGCTTTCTTTTTATGTTTTTTTTTTTTTTTTATGAGATGATGTTATAAAGCAATTCTCCATGTAATTTATATTAGGGTATTTGTAGTGGAATTGTAATAAAGTAGCTGAAGTTCCAAAAACCATCTTTGAACTCCCCGAAGAAGTCCCCGTTAGGATTCAGGGCCAGTGATGCCCCGATCCCAGCACACCGACTCCGCCTGAGGCTCCCGTTTGCCTGCCTCTTGGTTTGCTCACTGTCGCCCCTGAGCGAGACAAAGGAGATTGCGCGTGTAGAGATGGTCCAACCTTGGAGTGATCGGTCCCCGTCGTGACCGTTGTGACCTTGGTTCTCTTCTGCTCTTCGGCAGCACAGTCCAGTGGGAGGTACACGTTCTGTCTGGATGCCATTGGAGTTTATCGAAAAGTCCCCCAAATGAGCAACTCTGGGTAGAAGACATTTTCTTATTTTTCTTAATGACAAAAACAAAAGCTAAAAAAGTTTTTGGCCAACTTAAATATATAAACTTTTAGGGGTACAGATGAAATAACCAAATCTCGTATTTCACGAGAATGTTATCATGTATTTCACATGCACCTTTGGTGTCAGTGTGTTAGTAATTGCTGCGGAAGCACTTTGAGACATTGGACAGTTTTTTAGAGCACATCATCGTTGTTTCCACCCCGATTTGAGATGTCCCACTTCGGAATCCATGTGTTTACGCTGTCATTGGAACCTTTTTCCCCAAATTACAAACAAATGCTCATTGAATATTAGGAAAGTTTTTCTTCCCTCTTTATCAGGTAAATGTATACCTTTAACGTTATTAACCAGGTTGCTTTTTAAAGTATCTTCAAAAACTTGTCAATAACAACCTATAATACTTGGAATTGTATTATCCGTGTTGCTAAATTAGTAATTACTAAATATTTTTAAATTTAATTGCTGTTGTTTTTACCAATTCCTTAAACTGTAGACATCCAAAACTAGGAGCTAGGATTGATTATAATTTTTGGGATGGGGCTTTATGTTTTCCACAAATAGGACTTATATTTAAATATATGTAAGTAATGTATATTTTAAGCATTAAATATTTATATTTAAATATATATAAAAGGAAGAATATAAGTGGTCACACCTAATGTGTGAAATTTCCTAAAGAAACATAAGGCTCCCTCTTTTCTGAGGAATAATTTTAGGGGAAAAATGCCTTAAGTTTACATGAAATCATACACAGTTTTCATTTTAATCCGTGTAATAGTGTATATTGTAATATTGTGTATTGGAGCAGGTAGCAGACTTTTTCTGTAAAGGGCCAGTTGGTAAATGTTTTGTGCTTCCAGGCCCCATAACTATCCCTGTCACGTGTTCTTTGGTGTTTGCTTTTTTGTTTTAGGGAAAAAAAACAACAATCCTTTACAAATGTGGAAAATGTTCTTAGCCCCAGACTGCAAAAAGAGGCAGGCCATGGACTATAGCTTGCTAAACCCATATTTATTTAAAAAAATATCCTATTAAAAATTATGTGTGCATAGTATTTTTTTATTCTTAGGATGTGGTGATGTGCTTCAAATACAGAAGAGACTCACCTCATGTTAGTGTCATGATTGGGATTTGATTTTACCCTGTTTACAAGGTAATCAGCTGTGACTCTGTGGATGGTGGCCAGAGACCCAGACTCCTGGACCAGACACAGGGCTCGATTTGCCTCCGCGGCCCACAGAGTAGTGTGGTGTGGTGCATTTGGGTGGTGTGCATTCAGCGGGTTTGCGTCACAGCTGAGGAACAACGCGGAGCTGGGGAACCTACCCCTTTTATAGCAAACATTAAGCAAGCCTAATTTTTGTCCTTGGAGAGAGAGCTGTCATCCCTCAAGGTGACTCACTGCAGACCACCCTGAGAAACGGCCCAGGTGGAGAGCTGTTAGGGCTGTGCGTTCTTGGCACGGCTGATGAGAACCCACAGGGACACGCAGGGTCTGTGGTGACTGCCTTTCCCACAGGTAACTTGAGTGAGTCAGTAAACAGTGTCTCACTCTGGCAACACTTTATGACTAACACAATTTATTTTCCTTCCTTTCCAGGAACCACTGGAACAACAAACACAACAAAACCTGTGTTTTGTTCAATTCACTCCTCGTAGAAATTTATTCACACAAAATTTAACACCTGTGAACTATGATGTATTTTTTCACATGTTAAAGCAGTGTTTTCTGAAGCGCAATGCCAAGCTGATACACCAGTTACAGTAAGTAGGAAGAATGAAAGCGAATGTAAAAGCAGCAATTTAATATGGGAATTACACTTTCATGTTAGAGGTCCATTTTTTGTATCTTGTATATTCTTGCTTAACAGAGAAGTACCATGTTTCCACTCATCTATTTCTTCAAAATAGTGAGTTGGCCAAAAAGTACGTATGGTTTTTTCCATAAAATAAATGACACATTTTTCATTTTCACCAACAACTTTATTGACTTGGATATTTTGAGAAGCCACGAGTGGCTTCTAGTGGGTAGAGGCCAGGGGTGCTGCTAAACATCTTCCAAGGCCTAAGACAGCCCGACAACAAAGAGTTATGTGGCCAGAATGTCAACAGCACCAAGGAACTTCACCAACCACTTTCGACACGTGCCGTCAGTCACAGCACCTTCTCCACACACTGCACAGATCTCTCCTCATGTTTCACTTGCATTTTTACCTTTCTCGGAATAGTAAGGCATAATATACTGAAAAAGTTGTGTGTCGTTTTCCATCTTCAGTATTAAAATATCTGCACAAAAATGCAATTTTGGTAAGTTCTTTTTTAATGTACGCTGACATGACAGCTGTCATGATACAAGCTAACAGAATTGTTTCAAAAGACATTAAAGACAACTGAGCACCACTAGAGCCATCATACGGGAAAAACGTAATGGATTTTTTGGCCAATCCAATACTTTCTTTTGCCTGGTGCACATTTTCAGAAAAGTATAATTGTGTTTTCCACATGATCTCCTAAGCTTAATTTTCCGCCCTTATGTCTGAAAAAAAAAAAAAAAGGAAGGCTATAATTTGTTCTTATCTTTGTCGGATTTAGCTGAGAATACCTAATAACCTTCATGAAGAACTAGCTGCTTGTCACCGGCTGGGGTGGAGAAAGTTAGCATTATCGGGGGCATATCCACCATCTACCTTGTCAGTGTCCCTATTGGTTCTATTTCCTAACCAAAGTAGGGATGTGTCATTGTACCCCCTTAGTTTCCTGCCCTGGACCAAAGCTTTTGTTCATATAAAGCTCCATAAAAATTATAGCTACTTTGTATCTACATAAGTATAGTTTTTTATGGGGCAGACGTGTACAGTTTTGTGAGTTGCACACCTTGTGATCAGCAGCCCATAGTCATTCAAAGTATTGTCAGAGGATGAACAAAATGTTACAATAATCATTTAAATTAATTTGATCATTGTCAGATAGATACATGAATGAGCTGTTGGTTCAGCAAAATTTATGTAAAAATAAATGTTAAATGTGGCAATAGACCAGTAAAAATAATCTACTATTGTCCATCTTGTCCCCTTGTGATAGTGGTTGTTTTGAGTGAAACTATCAACACTATAGGGAATTAAGGAATAAATTTGGTAAGCTGTGGTACAAAATATAAAAAATTCCCTTTGAGATCTCTGAATTGAAAGCATGTTTCTGTGATGAGAATTCCATTCAGAATCAGAAAGTATTGGAAGTATTTTCTACCAAAATATTTTTTTGCAGTTGTTTGCTTGTTATTGTCAGAAGCTCACTTAGGCTAATGCGTAGGGCAGTTTTTTGCTTTATAATCACCAGTAAGTGAAAGATTGTTTTCTCTTTGAAAAGTGCAATGCAGCAGTTTCTGCTGTTTGAACTTACTGAACTTTTAACATGAACTTAAATGGAGCCAAAGACTATTTTTGTAAAGGGAATTAAAGGATGAAAGAGGTAGATGAGAGTTTTTTCAAAGGGCAATGTTAAACTGGGGTTTTGTGTAGGAATTGATTGGAACTCTTACCACCTACATCTGCTCTTTTCACTGTAGGTAAGCTGTGAAACTTGAGGAATGAACATAAAGATAGATGTGATATGCAAGCTCTTAAACTAAATAAGATTATTTATATATGTTAGGCATTTTACATTGAGCTCACAAGCTGCCTTTATCCCTGTTGACTGACAGTTGTTATGGAAAAGAATTTAAGAAATTTACTTTGAATTTTTGTTTGCAGTTCACTGAGTCCAGTGGATGCAGAGGATATACTGAAGAAAATAAGACAAAAAGGAACAACAAAAATAACAGATATGTATCCTGCAGACTTTAAACGCCTCTTCGAAACCATAGAACGTTCCAAAGATTATTCCTGCAAGTGGCTGTACGATGACTTCATGGAAGATGTCGTCGTATAGGGAGCAGGAACGGGGCTGCTGAGACAGCGGCCGCAGCCGCTCGTTGTACTTGGAAGCTGTGACGGAGGCTCACGTCCTTTCAGGAGAAGGTGGCTGTTCTTGTTTTGCACAAACCAGGCCGATCGTTTCTTCTGAGGTCGATACCATTAGGACATTGGGTAAAAAAACAGTGGCTGCTATTTTATTCACAGCAGAATAAAGTAAGAGCTTCCCTTCACCGTGGATTTGATCAGCTCAGATTTGTTTCGTTTTAAATTCTATTGTCAACATGCCAGTAGTTGTATGGAGTTACCAGATGAAATTTAGTTTTAAAAGTCCTTTTACCCGAACACTTACATGGTATTAATTTAAATATTCTACTTTCACTGTTGATTTTTGCATCCTCTGGGGGGGGGGTCGCAAAGAGTTTGTATGGTTTTAAGCTTAGACAGTAAATACAACTGATTTAAGTGGTTGGTTTTACTTTTCAGTTTGTTGAAAGTATTAACGAATACTGTGCAATGAAATAAATTAAATTTTATTATGGTTTAAACATTTTTAGAAATTAAAATATTTTAAATAAGATTTTGTGATTTTTTTTTTGTCCCTAATGAAACATAAAGTTGACCCTAACTTACTCACTTTAAATTGTCATGTACAGTCAATATACATTGTGAATAATTCAGTCTGTTATTCAAAAGTCTCTTGCATTTTTGTTCTATTAAGAAAGTTTATCTGCAGTTAGACCTTTACCTGAACCTAAATGAAATTAAGAGCATTTTCATTAGATCACTGAAGAAGCTACTGATTTTAGCTGAGAATACCCGATCTCCTGGATTAGATTTGTCTGCTGTTACAGCACTTCATAATATCTAAGGCACATTAATAACCTTCTGACTTCCCTCCTACTGTCATTGGTTTACAAATCAGTCTGGCTGGAAAATCCTCTTACAATTCCTATCCCACCGTTACATAACCTTATCTAATCTTCATAGTGTCGTTTGGTCTGTCTTCTCTCCCTGTTTCTTTCCTAGTTCTGTGCTTTAAGCCTAAATTTCTGTTACTAAGTTTATAAGAATGTCAGCTGAGAAACATTTTAAATATAGTTCACAGGGATTAACTGATGGCTTTTTGTAAAGGGAATGGGCTTCAAAAGACAGAGCAGCACATTTGCTCTTAGCCTAGATAAAAGGAGTTGAGTATGGATTCTGCTATAAATATGAATCAATGCCTTACAAGTGGTATATGCTCAGAGTATCAGGCAGTGTCACTTCAGACAAAATGGAAGAGGGGACTTAAGGACAGATTGGTTAACTGCTTTGGGAATTAAGGGAGAAATGGAGTTCAGGAGCGTCACTAAATACATAGAGTCTAGCTAAGGATAGGGACCAAGTTTATAGTGGTAGCATTTTATACTATTGAGTCATTTTAGGACGGGAGCAATGGAGAACATGGACGATTAGATGAATAAAAGTTGTGTATTAAGGAGATGAGCCTTCAGGTCTGTGCACGGAGTGGTTTCCATTACTTACAGAGCCAGATGTGAGTTTGACACTAAACATCTTTCAGGTGGGAGGGATGCTGCCTGAAGGCAGTGGGGTGTGGCTGGATCTCCTGTGGGGGTGGGGGGGGGGAGTGCAACTGACTGACCTCTCCAGCTTCTTCCCAGAGTCCACCACTGTGTTTGTGCCGAGGCCGCACGTCCTGCAGGTGGTTCCCAGGCCACGATTAAGTATGGAGATACGGAGGGCAGGCCCCTAACTGTGGCATCTAAGAAAAGGTGTTCATCTCGAAGTGGACATGATTTCGAGTTCCACGCCGAACAGTTACTAGCTGTGTGTTGGGGCGGGCGGGGTTTGGGAGGGGAAGGCAAGCTCCTCTTGTGACAGACACAACAAACTCCTACGGGCAATTCTGGCTCAAGGACTCCCTGTTGGTGTGACTAAACCTTTCTTGGAGTTTCACCATGGCCCTGGACGTCCTGTCCAATCTTTCTCTTTCCACAGTGTGAGACCTGCAATCACAATGCCGTGCCTTCTGCGTCCTTCTCTAAGAACCTTTCACACGTCTCATCCCGTCTTGGCACCTGCTTCCCTGCAGACCCAAACTCATACAGGAGACGGGATGTGAGCGTAACAGGAAGAAAGGGGTTGAAATACTGAAGCCAGTGTTAGAGAGCCAGTGGGGAGTCATTTACAGTGGTACTGAGGTGCCAAAGGTGGAGTAATGCCTGGTGACGACAAGGTCCATCCAGATCCAGTGCCAAGTAGTTCAGGGGTAAGCACTTCCACAGGTAGGTTGCCAAGGGGCCTTTTAGTTTAGCCAGTGGCTGAGGATAACATGCCTGTCTGGTCTTTTTGAATCCCCCTAAAACCTGAGGAGCTTAGCAGAATGTTCAAATGGAATATTGGGAACATGGCCAGGTATCTGAAGGAAAGTTTTCACGCTGCAAGAGTGAAATAGTTGCCCACACAGTCAGCTCTAGGTAAGTTCCTGGTGACTAAAGATGGCCAGGAGAATGAAGAGCCGGAATTACCAACAACAGGAGACCCTCTTGGTGGCATTTAAGGTTCTTTAGGTCTTTGTCTTTGGAGTATGTGTAACTTCCTCCAGAATGTCTGAGAAGCAGTCTGAGTTCAGAAGGTGATTGGCATCAGAACAGGCACACTGTATATTAGGGTAGAAAAAAGTTCTGTGATTGTGTAATGCCACCATTTGTTCATCACTAAATTGCAGAATGGTATTTAGCGGGTTATTTATCTGGGCCTTGGTTTTGCATGTGCAAAATGAAAAGGCTTTGACTATGTGGGCCTACGTGTGATAGTCTATACTCATCTGACAATATATTATGAAGAGTGCATTTCCTAAAGGGAGGAAAGTTTCTCTTGCCCCCCACCCATATAAGGAAAATCTGGAGAGCGAAATCAGCATAGAGAAAGCAGAGCTAACACAAGGAAACAGGGAGACATCATTCTGATAACATTTCAGCTCCTGGCTCTAACCACACCCTAAGTCAAATACACATCCAAAGCCTGAATGCCTGAAGCAAATGCCCTAAGCCAATTTCCGTTTTTGTTAAAAACTAGTTTGGGATGGAATTTTATCACTTTCAACCAAGAGTGTTAATACAAATACTATCTTAAAGGCATGCATCAATAGCTTCCCATTCCTACATCACTACAGGACTCTTCTGAATCTAACGAATAGAAATGATCAATTCACTCCCAAAGTGATGACTGGTTAGGGACCTCCAACCCACAAGCCTGCACCTTTGGATTAATAAAAAAGTGCAAGTTTTTTGTTGTTCCATACTTTGTCAGTATACTTTTTGCACCATTCTAAGGGTCGAAATAGCAATTCTAGTTAACCCGATGAGACATATGATAGACTTTTAAAATAATCCAGTGATTCTTGATTAAATTTCATTTGGTTTATTGCTAAAACTGCTGGGTAATTCTGCATTAAACATTTATAGCAACTACTTAATTTACCTCTTGCTAATAAAATAGTATGTTAAACCTTCAATTAGAATTTATGGGGAATTGGGCACAACATTCTATGTGCTCGGTTTTAATTTGCTCATTAAAAGCAAGGATATGAAAGTAATGGAACGAATAGGGTGAGAAAGCATTGATTTTCGTGTACTTTAGGAATTCAATTTAGACTCTTGGTGAAAGCTAACTGTAAAGCCAATTAGTAATTGGCCAATTAGCCAATTGTTTTCATTGAAAACATCAAATCTTGGAAAAAGGAGGTCAGTTTCAGGATCCTACCCGGGATTCCCATATTGTTTACGGTATAGAAACCTGTCAACTCTGTATGTCTTGAATTCTGATAACATCCTCCAGTTCTCTTTAAAATACATTCCATCTGCTGTTTTCATACAAAAGAACCCCTACCTCTCAATTGGTTGAGTGCAGGATAGGACAAAGAGCCTAGGGATTCTGAGCTTCTGTTTGCACAATAAATCTAAATGGTAATGTGGTCCCTCCCAGGCCACCTTGAAAAATAGTTATCTTTACAGTTTCTGAGCAGTCTCTGTATAAGGAATCTGGAACCTGATACTTGTAATTCATCATTTTAGAATTCTGGAAAGCAGGACTGCCCATTTCACAATAATTAAATCAGTCTCTTTTACTAAGAACCTAAAGCCTCTGTTTACTGAATATGCCATTCTCATTATAGGATGTTAAGAGTATTGCATTATGTTGTACTGTTATGTAATACAGGTTGTGGGAATCAGGGTATTCATACAGCACCAGAGTATCCCCCAGAGAGTGCTTACTAATTGCAAAGGTACAGTGTACTTTTGTTGCAAAGGTACAGTGTACTTTTGTAGCAAAGACTTCTAGCCGCCACTACTTTAACCAACTAATCAACTTAGTTTTATTAATAGTGAGATATTACGCATATTTAAGATTGATGTGATGTGATCATAGGTGAACAGTGTAAGTTGTAAAATGTTTTTGCCGAACAGTTGGATCAAATCAAGCCTCTGGACTCGAATGTCCAGATCTAGCCTGCAGTTTACAGGAAATACTGGGAAGAGAGGAACAAGTTAAGTGACACCATGAGAGAGCAGCCAGACAAATACCGAATGGAGAATATTTTACAAGACTCCTAGCTTGGACTCTTCAGAGTTCAAGTACAAAAAAAAAAAAAAGTCAATGTCATGAGAAAGAAAATGGTCCTTTGGCTGAATCGTGGTTTTTTTTTTTTTTTAAGATTTTATTTATTTATTTTTAGAGAGGAAAGGGAGGGAGAAAGAGAGAGAGAGAAATATTAGTGTGTGGTTGCTGGGAGTCATGGCCTGCAACCCAGGAATGTACCCTGACTGGGAATCGAACCTGCGACGCTTTGGTTTGCAGCCCGCGCTCAATCCACTGAGCTACGCCAGCCAGGGCTATGAATCGTGGTTTTTAAAAAACGTTACAAAAGCCAATCTTAAAGTGAATATGGTTTTTGCTTGTTAGTATAGAATCACTTTTTAGGTGTGATGGTGATTTGGCCGTTTTTAGGATATTGTTCTTACGTTGAGGAAACGCATGTTACGGTATTTAATTAGGAAATATTCTGCACAACAAACGTCATCAACAAGTGAATGAAAAAGCAAATTACGGAAAAGTACCGGGCAATATACAGGAACAAACTTCTGAGGTACGCACGATACATCCCGCTGACATTGTTTTGTGTGTTTTTATTCTTTTGCCCCCTTAGCAGCCTCTCCCCGCCCCCTCCAACACCCCTTCCACTATAAATTCCCTGAGATCAGGAATTGTTTCCTCTTTTTCACCCTATTATCAGTGCCTCGCGCAGAGTTTGACATACAGCGAGTGCCCAGTAATTTTTGAATAAAAGATTATTGCTTTTCAAAAAAGAAATATGATGTAAAAGTATTAGTTGTGAAATGTTACGTCTGCAACTGACTTTGCAATGATTCAAGAACACAACTTATTTTCAAGCGATTCAAACAAGACACATTATGCATACACACCTGCAGACATACGGAGAGAAAATGCGCAGAAATGGCAAAATACCAAGAATTGTTTGATCCAGGTGAAAGGTATAAAGGCGTTCATTACGTTGTTTCCTCAACTTTTATTCTGCAATAAAATTGTCTTAAGAAAATACTGGAGGGGAAAAACTAGCGCCTCTCCTTGCGGAGTTGCCTGGGACTCCAGCGTCCCAGCGAGTCGGACGGGAGCGCGGGCGCCCCGCTCACTTCGGGGACGCCGTCTGCGCTTGCTCAGAGGCCCCTCGGCCCCGCCCCTCGGCCTACGTGTGCGCGCAGCGCGCAGGCGCACGGCTCCCGGCAGCCCGCGAGGATTCAGCCGCGGGACGCGGCTGCGGTCTGAGGTGCGGAGCTGCGGAAGGATGGAGCCACTGAAGGTGGAAAAGTTCAGCACCACCGACAGGGGAAACGGGCTCCGCGCACTGGCGCCGCTGCGCCCGGGAGAGCTGCTCTTTCGCTCAGATCCCCTGGCGTACACGGTGTGCAAGGGGAGTCGTGGAGTCGTCTGCGACCGCTGCCTTCTCGGGTACGTGCGGGGCGCCCTCGCCCACCGGAATCCCATCAGTACTGTCCGCGGTACAGCCCGCCCCGCGACTCCACCTGGCCGTGGCTGCACCGCAGCTCGTCGGTTCTGCCGAGGAGTCCAGCCCCCCGCACTCCTCTCGTGCGGGTCCTGGGGACCCGTCGCGGCTGCTAGGCGGGGGCGGGGGTGTTGGGGTCGTTCCAGGCACCGTCCCTGCAGGGCGGGGCTGGGGCTGATAACACCCACACCCCTTGGGCTGCTGTAGGAATTGTAGGGGGGGAGCCGATGAGACAGACTTCAGGGGAAGCGTTTGGGGGGGGGGGCGGGTAAACACGCTCTGGGGAACAAAAGTCCGTCTCTTGTGCGGCGTGCTTAATTAGTGAGGCCGTGGAAATCATAATTGGCGGGGGATGGTGTGAATCAGGCTCCCAGCTGATGCTCTGCTGGGAGGACCTGGCTTGCAGGAGGCGGAGGAATATTGGTGTTCAGGGGACACTTTCTGTGTTTTGAACGGGACGTTCTTAAGACTCGTTAAGGAGTAAATAAGCGCGAGACAGAGTTAATTTCAATGTATGCGAAGTGCTGAAATAGGCAACAAACACTGTGCTGTGGGAGCCTAGGTTGCTGAGTTCCGGGGTGTGCTTTGCATTTAAAGGCTGTGGCTAACCTAGAAGTGAGAATTCATGTGAAAGTGTTTTATAAGCCTGGAAGTCCTGAGCCACTGAAAAATGTTATGTGAGAGCGATTTATGGAAATATGTAATATATATGCACAGTCATAGGAATTATGTTCAAGCAACAAGTATTACTGAGCTTCTATTACATGCTTAGGAGAAGAGCTCCGTTTGAGATGGGCTGGATGATTTTTTTTTTTTTTCCCATCAGTGCTCTTCCAGACCCATTAGCCTGGGATTTGGGTGAGTGGATGTGAGGAGTAAGTGCAAAGCTCAAATCAGTAGCTGGACCATTAATCTTACTATGCCCTTATTGAATTCATAATTGAGGAATTTACTTAATTTTTGTATTTTAAAGTTACCAAATAGTAATTGTATCTGTTATTTCCTGAAGTAACCATAACAGCAACAACAACAAAAATCTATTGAGAAAGTGCTTTGAAATTTTTGTAAACTGTGTGGTTGAAAGCCATTCATTCCTTTCAAGACTTGACTTTTTCCTAAAGTCCAGACATTGGCAGTTTTAGGCCTTTGATTATTGTTCAAAATTAGACAAAGCTGTGCTCTTCATCCTCGTAAATCCTTTGGGGCTGTGTCTGCAGTTTGAAGGTAGTCCAAGGCAGAGAACTGGCTGTTTCCTCTGGTATTAATCGATGGAGAAGATGTGGGTCATCTTACAGATAAATTCAGACTGCCAGTTGGAATATTTAGCTGTATTTAGCAGTTAGAATAGAAAAATTTTGGAATGAAGACTTGATGACAAATTGCTCAATGAATTCTCAGAGCTGGACTCAAATCTTAGGACATGGAATTATCCATTTTCCAAAACTGCACACATCCAGCTGTTTGTGGGTGGGATCTTTCTTGATTTACTATATTTTTTCATCACTGCTGTTTATCGCTCATTTTTCTTATTAGCAAGAACCATAATGAGTTAAGCAAAGGAAAAAAAAAAGCACTCATGGAAGAATACAGAAGAGTTCTCAGCATTGCTTTAAAGTCAAGTCTGGAGGAAGCACGGCTCTGAAAATGGGCAGGAACCCAGGGAAGTTCCATAGTCAGAACGGTGCTTTGGAAATACTTGAGGATGGGACCCGAGAGTATGTCATTTTCGATGCTGTCTGGAAATGCTGGGTTCTGCAGCGTGTGTCACCGACACTATGACACTGGTGCTCCTGCTGCCACTGCCTCTGCAGTGGCGGCCTGGGACACTAGTCACTGCTTTCTCTGCTTGGCTTCTTTGTGCTATCAGCTTCTGATTCAGGGTCCTTAAGGGGTGCCTTGCATTGGTCGAGCTTAGGGTCACTGCCTGCACCCTGGCTGCCAGGGAAGTTGAGAAGGTGAGTATTTGGCCTTTCTGGCTTTTAAGAAAAGACAGGCTCTACTTCCCATTGATACTCACCTGGTGGAAAGACCATCAGACATATAGGAAAGGGGATATAAATAAATGCCAAGCATCCAAACAAAACAAACTAAAGCAAGTAAATGGATTTTTTATACTAACAAACATTTGCTTATTAGTACTTTATACAAAAAATATACTTGCACTTCTTTTGGATCAGTAAGCTATAATTCACTTGTTCCATGGCTGTCAGTATTCTATTGAACAGTTTGTCTTCAATGGTTGGGTTTTTCTGAAGTGTCTAGGGGAATCCTTGCAGCCCTAAAATAGCGTTGGAGAAATCAAACTTAGTGCGTTGTCTCATGCAGTTTTCTGCCGTTTTTCAAAGTCTATCATTATGGGGTACAGTAGCTCTTGTTCCTTGTCACCTTGTAAGTAAAATTGGCTTCTTTAGCCATCATCAGTGTTGAACTTCTTGAGAGCAGAGATTGCATCTGGAAGTTTTTGTAGCCCCAATGCCTGGCACGTGGTACACTCTTAGTTTGTGTTATGAACGTCCAGCTGAACTGTCCTCTAGCTGTCACTGCCCTTTTGCTGCATTCCTTTTGAGTCAAGAAATGTAATGACAATATTAGTTTGTAACAATTTACAACAGTTCCATGGTGGGGGGGGAGGGAGAACCAGATAAATAATATAAAGAACAGATATGTATTATAATTATTTCATTAGCCTCCAAATGATTTATTGCTGTCAGAATCTACTTGATTTCCTTTGGCCTTGGAGTGTTTTGATTTGTGCTTTAGTTCACGCATTTATTTATTTATTTATTTATTTATTTTTAATTGGATTTATTGGGGTGACATTGGTTAATAGAATTGTATGGGTTTCAGGTGTACAGATGTATAATACATGATCTTGTATTGTGTGTTCACCACCATAAGTCAGGTCTCCTTCCATCACCATTTATCCCTCCTATACCTCCTGCCTCCCCTCAACCCTTTCCCTCTGGGAATCACCATGCTGTTGTCTGTGTCTGTGGGTCTTGCATGCTTATTTTTATTAAAGAGAAACTTGAACCTGCTTCATGGCTTTTCTTGCCTTTTTCCCCCCGTCATTAAAGATTGGTTCTTGTTTTTCATGTGGTTGGAAAAGAAAATGAATTATGTAAATTGGAGAAAGATTAAATGATAATTAAGTCATTACCCGAAATAATTTATATTATCCTTTTTCTGCCGTTGCACACATTTTTAGTTTGAAGGAGCTCAGAACATTGACAGAGGGGTTGTTTGTGTTACCTGCTGGTTTTGGCAAATGTGGTGCATAAACTTCCACTGTCAGGCCCCGACTCCCTGACTCCCCACTCAGGGATGTTCTCACAGCCCCACTCGGGGAGGCAGGCAGGGACACCGGACTCGCCAGGCACACAGGAGGCTCTAACTGTCGATGTCGCGAAGTGGTAATATTTGGGGGAATTTTTAAGTCACCGTATGATTGTTTTTGGTTTTCTAAACTTCCAAATTGCCTGCAGTTTCCATATCAAGAGCTTCCTCTGAAAGCTCTAATGACAGTTTCTTCTGTAGGATGAAGAGGCTATTTCTTCCATCATTAAGGCCGAATCGAGGCTTGGTGCCTCCCAGGAGGCACCAAGGTGAGTGAACGGGAAGTGGAGAGTCTGTCTTTTCCAGCTCTGGTGGGCTGTGGGGAAAAGGGGGAACAGGGGTAGGGGAAACAGACTGTGGGAATACATGTTCTGACCTGGTCTGTCTGGCCAGAGTTCTGGGGTCGAGGTGAGCGTGTTTAATGGTTTGAGGTGACAGCAGAAGTAGAGGGCCTTCAGTGCTGCTCCTTATTTGGAATCTCGAGAGGAGATGGCTGTGTCGGTGAGTGCTGTGCCTATGCGGGGGGTTGGAGCACGGCCGTGGAAGAAGGAAGTGCGTGGGTGGGTGAATCCCTGGTAGCAGGGCATTCTGAAATGCTTTCATGCCACGGTGAGGGGTGCAGAGGAGCTCGAGGTCTGGGGAATCGGCAGCAGGCATCACGATTGTGTGACCCTGGACTGAAGGTCAGGGTCATGGATACCAGAGATGGGAGCCACCGTGACATCCCAAGAGGTGGGATGACAGCAGTCCAGCGGGGGACCTAATCCCCTTGCAGCAGAGACTAGTGTGGACCTACGGAGACACCAAGATCCAGGGTCCTCCTCCCACCTTAAGAACGACCCATAAGCCCTGTATGGAGAAAAATTTACCTGGAAGCAACTATTTACGCCAGTTCTGGTAAAGAGTGAAACTTGCATGTCTGAATATTACCTGGAAGAGACTGATATATTATTTGGAAAATTTTAAGTTTCTGGCTGTTTACTAGGGTGAGTGTTCATGATGAAGACTAGATTAATCATAGAAAAACAGCACCATGTTCACAAAGACAGGTGAGATCAGTTACAGAAAATACAGCAGCCTCCTTTGATTTACAGCGTATGGGTAAATATCAGCAGGCAATGGAGGGGGGAAAAACTCTGGTGAGGTGTTATAGTCCATCTTGGCCAAGGGCCGAACCTGGGCGGAGGCAGGAGGGAATACCTACTGGGGTAAGAAGGGGGGGTGCCAGAGGAGGCAACAGCAGTGACTGAAAGGGTTGGGGACATTTGGGAAGTGGTTGCTGAGTGAGTCAGGCTCAGGGAAGAGAAGGTTTGAAGTGTTCTAGGAGGGAAGAGGAGTTGCCCAGCGCAGTGTGGTAGGATTGCCGGGAAGCCCTGAGGGTCCACTGAAGGGCTGTGTGGCGGACGCCTGAGCCTGGAGACTTCCTGAGAAGAGTTGTGTTCATTCATGTACAGTGGCAGCGGGTAGCACACTCGTGCTTTGTTCTCTCCCAGGGGCAGCTGCTTGACTGTGAGAATTGGGGTTTCCAGGTTAGCACCACGGATAGAGAAGGCGAGAAGGAAGTTGAAATTGTCAGCTAGGGAGCGTGTAATCATGGACCATGATTTCT